AGCTGCCACCCATCCCACACCTAATGATGGGCCGAACACTCCCCTGTTTGGTTTGCAATCGAACATTCGAACCTAATGAAAGTTCGACCGCAAAACTTCAAACAGGGACAATTCACTAAGTGGCATCTTACCGCATTTGAGTATGCGGTAAGATACTGCACAGCCACTAAAACACAACATGAGTTAAATTATTAAGTCATGCTGTGTTATAGTAGTAACTCAGGGACATGGAAGACCTTACGGCTACACTGCACAATATGGAGGAAGTGTTTACTGAAACTTGGAGACCCTGGCACTATTTCATGTACATGGATGTCTACCTCAGGGAGATAGCTACAACCCAGTGATGCTGCTCCCTCGCCTCCAAGCCTCTTACCCGGTAGAGGGATACTCCCTTCTCTTTTCTCTCTTTTTGGGAAGCTCTGACCTGTTTTCCCTCTTATTTACCCTTCCCCCTGCTCTTGGAAGCACCTTCTATACTGTTTTTATATTTACAACTTGATGTATGTTGATTTCCTACCATATTTGGGATCAGACTACCGTTAGAGTCTATGTCTTACCTCAGCCCGTTAATGTGTTCAATGCTCAATGTAAAAGCTTTTATTTTATGTTTTCAGCTTACATTTCAATATACTACTGTTAATTAGAATTCGGTTATTTCAGTATTGCTTAGACTATTAATGTAATTTTCATGCCATTGTTTTCTCCTGTTGAACGACACTATGTTATGTGTTTTTAAATCCACATCTGTAAATGGTCAAAACTTTATTAAAATAAAGGAAATAAAAAAAACTAGAAAAGCTATAATTTCTGGGGAAATTGTGTGATGTGTTCTTGCCTCCACCAGTAGTCTACAACTGGAGTGGGCAGAGTAACTGGGTGGAATGGCTTGAGTAACTATTGTGTGGTTAGAGTGGCTGGAGTAACTGTGAAAAGGTTGGACTGGGCAGAGTAACTTTATGGAGTGGGCAGAGTAACTGTGTGGAGTGTTTGGAGTGAGTAAAGATAGTAAACATTACACTAACCAATTGATTGATCAAATGTAAAAAGTGCACACGGCAAGCTTGATAGAGTGAGAAATGCATTTCAACTTTTATTTTTCAGCTCACACGCTAGCATTTGTCACTCTGCTGCCTGCTCACACACCTGGGTTCCAATGGCAACTCACTCTACAGAAAGGGCAGAGAAGAGCGGTTAAAAACAAACTGCTCCAACTTGCTCACTTCACTGGCGGTTGCCATCTTCAAACGGTTGTAGTTTAAAAATTATAAATCCTACACTGAAGAGCTTTATATTGTGAGAATCACAAGACCTACATTTTGATGCATAGTATGTCTCTGAAATATTAAAAATGAAGGCACAGTCGCAGTTTAGAAATTGCCCTTCAAATTTGAGGTGGCTAGAGTGAAGTTTCAATGAATGTCAATGGGCGGCGTGAGTTGCAAACAAATGGTCATATTGTGAAAACTAACAGGACTATGGCTTAGCCGTGGACATTTTTAGTGGCAGCAGGGATAGCTGAACGTTTTGATATAAGATTTGTGTAGGTGGGCTTGAAAATGAGGGAGCAATGGCAGTTTAGGAATCACGTCCTGATTTTTCAGCTCACACTCTAGCTTTTGTCAGCTCCCACTCTAGTTTTAAACATTCCGCCATTCATTCCTATGGGACCAATTTCACCACAAAAATGCAGATATTTTGTGAACCATTCGGCGAAACGTTCCACAAAGTAATAGCACACCAATCGGGAACAATCCGCACGTTTCGATATATTACTGTCTATGTAGTGTAAAAACTGTGGGAGGAGTTAGGGTGGTAAATTTGGCTATAATAATAAGAATATATATGTGAGATAACAGTAAGTGGTCTTGCCATGCAAGAACACTCCCCTAAAAAGAAAGCTATACCAAACCAAGCTGATGAAAGGCCAGGTGTAAGGTACCTGGTGATGGAGCCTGAAGCGCTTCGGAAGGCCTTTCTTACAGCTCTGGCTAAGGAGCACTGGTAAAGTGACAGAGCACCAGAGCACAGAGTGGCACGAGTGCCTGGTAAGTCTCTCGGTGGCAGGCATTACTGTCCATCTGGAACACCAAGATGGCCGGACTGGATTCCACAGGCTGAAGGGCTGGAGCCAGAGAATAAAGCAGACTAGCTTGGCACAGGAGCAGGAAAGCAGCAAGGCGTACTCAGTCTGATTTGGCAACTGGCAGGCAGATCAGGTTCAAACGGCAGACAGGAGAGTAGTCAGGAGACAGACCAAGGTTGGTAACAGCAGCATGGGTAAACAGAAGGAGTAGGCAGAGCGTAGCCCACAGACAGGCCAGCGGTCGGTACAGGCAGTGTTTGAGCAGAGACAGAAGCAGATCAAGTCGGCAACAGGAGATCAGATCAGGAACAGATAACAGGAAATCAGGTAACGTAATAGACCAAACAACATTGATGCACTGCATTAGTGCAGTTTGTTCGTGCACGCGCACCTGTAATCCTTAATCCAGGGCCTCTGTGTATATGGATATTCCTTTCCTGACACCGGGATATGCAGGATTAAATAGGACACACCTTTTACTAGTAATGGCAGTAATCAGCGACTTATAGCGGGACTACGGCAGGCATTCTGACACTGGGGGGAACTGACTTTGTGTCATTGACATCCCCAGTGACACCAAAACAGTGATCAGTGCTAAAAAAAAAAGCACTGACACTGTAGTAATGGCACTGGGCAGGAAGGGGTTAACATGAGGGGCGATCAAAGGGTTAACTGTGTGCTGTTTCACAGTAAGCTCTGTGTGTGTGCTTTGCTGTAATCACACTGCTTTGGATAGCTGTGCTATGCACAGCCATCTAAAGCAGTGTGGACGAGCTGACAGGTAGGAGAACTGTATTGTTTACATACAGTTCTCCTGCCCATCAGAGATCCTCTGCAATCACCAGGCACCGGTGAATAATCACCGGCCGGGACCCTGTGATTGACAGCCGCGGCCGCGAATGGCGGCGCAGGTAGGGCGTGCGTGCCCCCTACGGGGAAATGCAAAATCACATATATATACATGCTTTTGCGCACCTGTGCCTCCCTGTAGCAGAACTGCTATAGGGTGGTCAGGAAGTGGTTAAAGATGAAAAATCAGAATAAAAACAATAACATACAAGAAAAAACATGTGAAATCTTTGTGTGCAAGAAACATGGCAATTTAAAAGCAGATTGGTGAATCTGAAAAGCTAGAGTGCAAAAACAAACTAAACTATAAAAGCGTGAAGGAATAAACTGATTTTTATTCAGATAATGTGTTTGTCAATCCAAAAGTTGCACTTCATCTTTGCAGGCATGGTGTGCTGATTCAGGAGCTGCGAGTCACTTGACAAATCACACCTCTATTCACCTTGACCACAGTAAAGCAGAAAAAACTCACCACAGTTATTGGGCAAATAATGGAATCAGAAGGAATAGGAGACAGTTTTCTTACTGTCCTATTTCCCAGAATGTCACCAAAAAGATACCTGTGAAAAATGTCCTGTATCTCCCTGCTCTTGAAACAAATCTTTTGTCCGTGGAGAAGCTCATAAAACAAGGCAATGTAGTGATTTTTCAAGGTGACAGTTGTGTCATCACAAAAGGGGATATCTTACTTGCAAAGGCTACAATTACAGATGAACTGTGTCAGCTGAACTGCAATGAGGTGGTTAATATTGCCAAGGGAAGAAAACATTCAGACTGCATTCACACATGGCACAGATGACTTGGGCACAAAAGTCCTGACATAATAAAGAAATTAACGAAGAATGACTATGCAAGTGGAATAAAAATTAGTCCATGTGATTAAACAATGAACTGCACCAGTTGTATAAATGGAAAATGACAAGAAAAGCCTTTCCAAAGAAGAGTGAAGGAAGAGCTGGATTTTCTTCATTCAGATCTTTGCAGTCCAACAGAAAAATTGACATCAGGACAGAGAAGAGGTGGAACTAGGACTTGCTAGGACAGTTTCTCCCACTGATTTACCAGCATAATGTTCATCCATGAGTGGATATGAACCTTCACTATGGAAGGTATATATGGGTATATATACTTTGTATGTATTTTTTCTTTGCTTTCTTCCTTTTTCCCCATTTCCCTTTTGTTCTCTCCCCCTCCCATCCCCCCCTCCTTTTCCTATTCTTCCCCCCTCCCCCTTTTTTCCCCTCAGTTGTTTTATTTTTCCATTCCCTTTTCCTTTTCCTTTTGTTAAACTGATGTAATAAAGACATGTAATTCTTTTGTAACATTTGTGTCATGTGCATATTTGACCATTGGAGGGATAATTAACCACAAGCCTACAGGGCACTTATACTCCCTTCCTGCCCAGGCCAATTTCCAGCTTTCAGCGCTGTCACACTTTGAATAACAATTGCGTGGTCATGCAACATTGTATCCATATGACATTTTTATCATTTTTTTCTCACAAATAGAGCTTTCTTTTGGTGGTATTTAATCTCGCTGGGCACTTTACTTTTTGCGCTATAAACAAAAAACTGCAAAAAATTTGAAAAAAAAAGTTTCTTTGTTTCTATTATAAAATTTTTCAAACAGGTAATTTTTCTCCTTCACTGATGTGCGCTGATGATGGCAGCACTGATAGGCACTGATAGGCGGTACTGATGGGCACTGATAGGCAGCACTGAGGGCACTGATGGGCAGCACTGATAGGGCTTTCTTTTGGTGGTATTTAATCACCTCTGGGATTTTTATTTTTTCTTAAACAAACCAAAAACCACTGAAAATTTTGAAAAAAAACATTTTTTCTTAGTTTTTGTTATACAATTTTGTAAATAAGTGATTTTTCTCCTTCACTGATGTGTGCTAATGAGGCTGCAGTGATGGGCACTGATATGCTGCACTGATGGACACTGGTAGGTGGCACTGATGGGCACTGATGAGGAGGCACTGGTAGGTTGCACTGATGGGCATTGACAGGCATCACTGATGGGCACTGAAAGGCAGCACTAATACATGACACTGATATATGGCACTGATAGGCGGCACTGATAGGCAGCACTGACTGGCACGGATAGGCGGCACTGACTGGCACTGATGGGTGACATTGAAAGGCAGCTCAGATGGGCACTGATATGTGGCATTGATGTGCACTGGTATGCACTGATATGTGGCATTGATGTGGCACTGATGGGCACTGGCACGGATGAGCACTGACAGGTGGCACTTCTGGGGCCACACTGATCATCAGGGCACACTGATCATCAGTGCCCTGATGATCAGTGTGTACATGTTCCCTCTGCGGAAAGCTGATTACTGGCTCTCCTCTCCTCTCGAGGTGTCAGCGTGGCAGCTTGAGAGGAGAAAAATGCAGATAACCGGCATTTCCGTGTTTACATGTGATCAGCTGTGATTGGACACAGCTGATTACATGACCGACCGAGCCGACATCTTCGGCTCTTTACGTGATCCGCTGTGTCCGAGGGACACAGCGGACCGGCGATCGCTGCGCTGCACGCTCCCTGAGCCGCGCATGCGCAGTGAGAATGGTAGGACGTCATATGACGTCCTATCAGAACGAGAGAACCACCTTGCGCCCGTCATTGTACTATAGGGCAGGCGGAAGGTGGTTAAAGTCCCATTATTTGTACTTCTGTTTGCTGTTTGTTTCAGCATAATTCTGTGGAGGTGCAATATTGCTTGATCAAATGAGGATTTAGTCAGCATTAAATACATTACATCATTACATAATTGGTAAGGTTGAATAAAGACATTGGGCTATCCAGTTCTCTGTGTTTATATCACTACCATTTTTAAAATCCTTCTATATTGTGTTTGCGAAGAAACACACCTAAAAACTTTTTGAATTTATCTAAATTCCTTGCGGACAACGCCACCACCACCAACAGAATTAAAGAAAAAAGTGTTACAAAAGGATTTCTAAAAATATGGGCTCAGGCAGAGAGTTTACAAATGTAGTAAATTCAACATTGTGGTTACTTCTATGAAGCTCTTTATAAGGACATGCTGTCCAGTCTTTAAAACTAAACCCCAGGTTGGACCAATAGTTACCCTTTCAGTTGGGCCCCATCCAAATTGCAAATGTGAAATTCTTATTTGTCCAGTGACAAATAATTAGAAATAAGGTGACATACCCTATTCCTTGCTCCCCCAGGATTCCTCCTCTTCATAACACTGATCCTCCAAAGTTGCTCCTCTTTTCTTCCTGACTGGTCAACGCTCTCTGACATCATATAAATGGAGGACTAGTGGTACAGCAAATGAAGACAGCAAAGGCCCACCTACATCCCAGAAGCATATGAGAGTGAAGGGCAGCAATGGCTGTTGGGGGAGTTAGAAACTTAGTAAATAATTCACTTTACCAATCATCCACTTGTTTGCAGGTTTAGGTTGGGCCCACTGTGTTGCCCACTTTTCTTTTTTAAAACCTTCCAGGAAGAAGAATAATTTAATTTCCTTCCTGGCAGGATCCCTTAAATACATGGGGAGTAGCTTAGCTAAGAGTAGTTGCTGGCTATGGGGTAAGGGAGAACCATGGGTGAGAGCACAATCTAGAGTGAAGGATGCTATGCATAGAGAAGTGAGTAAGATAATGCTTGGAGATTGTATTACGTGATACTGAAGACACATTTATTTATTGTTGCAATTAAATTGTGTTGGACTGAGCCTCTGGCTGCTTCTTGTGGCTTAGTTTTGAGAATGCAATCTGTGGAGCTGAGTCAGGCAGAGTATCCCTTAGCAACTCTTCCCTTGGCAAAGAAATTCTAGGTTAAGCAACAGCAACACAAACTTGGTCTAGCTAGGGGCCAGTGGTGGATAGGCAAGGAAGTACACTACCCTGGAACCACACAAATCTTTAGGCCTGGAGCATCTGGTATCCCTGGCACAGATACCTGCGGTTGTTACTAGAGACCAGGAGCATGGTGAGTGGGCTTGCAGTTGCATAGGGGCAGCCCCATGTCACGCACACCATACATGCGGATGGTGGGCAGATGTGCAAATCTGCAAGGGCTCCAGTTGTTAACTACAGTCAGCGAGCGAACCTGGGTGAGCCCTGAGTATTAAGTGGGCCCCATTGGAGTGAGTTAGTGAATGCTTCCAGTGCAACAGGTGCCCTGCTTACACACTAGACAAAAAGACGCATTTAACTCTTGAAGTGCTGAGGGGGCATTGCTGCAAGGGTAACATTCCAGCCCAGAGTTAGCTTTAGAATCTGTTATTGTCAAATGATAAAACATTTTCTAATTCTATCATACAATGAAACACAGATCTAACCCCCTCACATTTTAAAAGAATTCCACCCCTCATATAAAACATCAACTACATAGAACAATATACATATCATAATAGATATATAACTCCCAATTTAGTTTTTTCCAAAATACCTCTAGCATTCAACCTAGTGGTATGAGATCAGATACTTCTATACTGCCTACCAGAAGGTATCACTGTAAACAGAACATTACCAAGATGTGAGCTATTCCTCAAAATATGATTTGCTCTCTAGAGGTACTCCCGTTCACCAGTTTTCAATACTTGATAAATCTAACCCTGCAATAATTCGCGCGGAGACTATAAGCCAGACCTTTTCATCTGACATCAGTGCCTGACCTGGAAGAATGGTCAAACATTCCCATAGACACACTCCTAAACCTTGTGGACAGCCTTCTCAGAAGAGCTGAAGCTTTTTTATTACCCTCTGTAAGGAATTTAGTCATGAACCATGCATAATCCTTGCCACAGAGAAATGTGATTAGTTAGCACACTTGTAATTGTAGCTTTTTAGAAGTCAGTGAGGACCTTCTCTGAAAAGCCTGCCCTCCACAGCTTCCATTAAAAAATATAGTCTCTGATGAGCCTTAATCTCCAGATGGGATATGTGCCCTGTCATTGAAGATCTTCCCTAATTATTGTTCCCAGGAAGCAAAACTTCTGTACCCTCTCAACTTCCATCACACCAATCACAACTGGCTCCTACTATAACTAATCTTCCTACTTTCTCTAAAATTGATAATAACTTCCTTTGTCTTATCTACATTTAGCTTTGAGTTATTCTCTCAACAATAATTTGCAGCAAATTTTAACAAAGTGTTCACCTTATAGTGAAAAATACAATCATAAATATTTAAGGTAAACAAAATGGGCTCGCACACATATTTGAGGAACCCCTGTACTAAAGGACAGCGTCTATAAATAATGATTTAATTTCAGGGAGTCTGAATTTAAATCTGAAAAAAACTTTGTGTTATGCAACATGATAATGACAACATAGAAGAATAAATCGACAAGAGAAGGAATCCCAAATTTGAAAGTGGCAAACTAAAATAAGCAGTTTTGTACTCAGGAATGAGCCCCAAACAGCTTCTAACTGATGAAGGTACTGACCAGCAGTTTGGTTGTGTAAAGATTCACATCATTTTCCATCACTGACCTCGATAGTTCAAATAACTGTTCAATAATTCTATAATCATGTAAAATTGTGATTGTGTTTATGGTCTTTACTACTAATACTTAAATGTTAATGGTGATATTTTGGGAGCCATTCTAACCAAAAACCGATATCTTTACTGAGGGTTCACAAACTTGTTTTGTATAACTGCTCAGTCAACTGCCTAACAGTATTTATAGTCAGTCTAATCCAAAAAGTGGTGTGTATGGTGTTCTGTGAAAACAATTTGTATTAAGCATAACAGGCCTAGATATTTCAGTTTGACAGCAAAGTGCTTGATCATGCATATCTAAAGGGATGCCTTGGATGTGTTCTTTTATATAATACTCAGAACAAAAAGATTGATGTAGAGGACACTAATAGTTGTGAAAGAGTAGGCCAATGACAGCATGAATCATGAGGAGAAGTGATTGAAGAATGAAATATTCAGACAGGAAATGATTCAGACAGGGCTCAGATTGGCTACAGAGTCCAGCAGCACATTATTTTTGGGTGGCGGAGGTGCTTATGCAGTGTAATGTCTGCACTGCATTGCCAGCTGGCTGTCTCAAGCTGTGCTTCTCTTCAAGAATCTATAATGGGCTTCCCTCTACACACAGCCTCTCTGCTGGTGACAAAGAGCTAACAGATCTGAATCAGCTTGTGACGTGCTGCTCCAATCCTTTATACCTGTGACTGCATATTTACCATTATCTAATTAAAGTGTTTATAATGTCAATGCACAAAAGTTGCCTTGCACTCTGTTCTCTGTTTTTATGTCCTCTATAGTAAATGGCTATTCCCTGTACTAAAGTTAAGGGGCTGAAAACACAGTGCACCTTAGGGACCACTTTTGGAATCAAAACCCTACTTTAGCACTGCATTGCCCAGAAACCCTGAAGTGACTTTTGCAAATGTGTTTTGTTTTATTGTTACCTACTCCTGACCTCTGCTCTCTGTATGATACCACTTATCTCTGCACTCTGTACATTGCTTACTCCTGACCTGACCTTACTCTGCTCTTCATATGCAACTTGCTCTTGACCCCCTTATACTCTCCCAAACATTTGTGCTCTGTGCATTATTTATTCCTGGCCCTGCATTCCTTGCATTACTTACTCCTGACATTTGCTATTCATGTGTTACTTACTCCCAACCCCTGTGAGCTTTATACATTACTGAGTCCTGCACTATGTGCATTACTTACTCCTGACTCCTGCATTTTGTGTGTTATACACTCTTGACCCTTGCACTCTGTGTGTTATGCACTCCTGACCTCTGCATTCTGTATGTTACTTACCCTTGATCTCTGCTCTCTGTGTGCTATGAACTCTTGTCCCTTGCACTCTGTACTTTAGTTACTCCTGACCTCAAATCTCTATAAATTGCTTGTTCCTGACCTCTGCACTCTGTGTATTACTTACTCCTAATTCCTATACTCCATGAATTATGCACTCTTGAGCATTGCATTCTGTGCATTACTTGTTCTTGACACTCTTAATGTTAGTTACCTAAGACCTCTGCTCTCTGTGCGCTACATTAGTTACTCTTGATAAAATAGAAAGCCCTGTACTGTGTACACCTTCAAATAGTACATACTAGAGACCTTAAGGTGCAGCGCTATAATAACTTCATAATAAAAACATAAAAGTGCCAATATCAAATCACACTGCGGTGAAGTTAGGTATAAATGTCTCAGAATTGATCAGAAGTATCCACGATCTGAGTAGGTTATGCATTCTGTCCTGAATCTACGCACTCACCAGAAGTTCGTCACTCTATCCATGTACTTTGCCTCCTAACCTTCCTCGCCCCTTGGCATGTGCTTCAAGTTTGTCAGGCATATCACCATCTGGGGTTACACAAGTGGGGACTCTTCTGAGCCCTCTGCACATAGTGTCTGTACATTCAAGATGCAGCATGATAAAAATACTAAAATTCCTGTGGTCGGACTCCTGCAGCTCTCTGTGTGTTTACCCTTTTTACTCCTGCACGAAACTCTGCTGCATTATCTGTCCGCACCGCTTACTTACTCTTGACTCCTATGCCGCACTTGAA